CGAAGGTTTTCCCATTCCTTGTCAAGGGCGGCTTGGGCCTTTGGCGTATTAGCTACTTCGGCTTTCGGCACAAGCCGCACTGAACAGTTCAAGAGCAACATCAAATTCGACTTTCTTGATTCGCTCTTTGACCAACTCACGCAATTGCGGGCGATGCGGCTCCTTTGCTGACCTGTCGCGTTCCGGAAGGACGGACATCGCAGGCGCTTGCCGGATCACAGGCATTGTCGGCTCGCCCTCGCGGGCAGCGCTGGTTGGCTTTGCACTGGATGCGGCTTCAGGGTGCTCGGATCTGGCCTCCGATGAGACTGTTGTCTCGAGCATAGCCTTCTTGGCATCTGCACGGAGCTGCTCTTCATACTGCTGGGTTAGGGCCTTTTGGTCCTGGCTGCCAAGCATGACCCACATGTCGGACGGGATATCGGGAGGCCTTTTGGATCCGGCCTTCCTACGGACAAGCCGAACCCCATCCCACACATAGCCATCGGGTACTGGTGACCCATCAGGCATTCTGCTTGGGTCGAACGCACCGCCTTTGTCAGGCACGACAGGCTTGATCTTCGCTTCGGATTTCTCCGATGCGGGTTCCTCGATGTGGGCTTGCCCACGCTCCAACGGCACAGGATCACTTCGTGTTTTGGCATCAGCAACAGGTGGATGAGATGCAGGGTCTTTCAACAACCTCATCGGAAAGATGAACTCATCAGTCGGAAGCTCAATGCGCTTTGTTGGCTGTACCGTGAGGGACGCATGTTCGATATGGTAATCAAGCCCTTCTAGCTTTTGCAACAAGGAACTCACCTTTCCATGCGAACCCAGGCTGAATGTGGTACCCGAGAAACACGCCTTCATTTGATGTTGGCGAAGTCTTGCCTGCCTGATTGTCTGCTCGTGCCGGGTTGTTCCAGAACAGTACCTTTGCTCCGAAAGGTATCTCAGCTTCATCAAAGGTCTTGTGAAACCTGAGGTACCATGGCGAATCGTTTCCATTCAACTGCGGCAGGATGTTGGTTGCAACTGCATTGTGCTGGATTGCAAATGGCCACATCGACAGTGGGAACCCTGACTGAACAAGATTCGCACGTGCTCCCTCCAACAGATGTCTGATTTCCCTTTCCACGAAAGATTTGGAACAATCAACATATTCAATGGAGGTCTGATGACGGTACCCCAACTGCTCTATTGCGGCTTTCAGTTCCCGGGAGTTGTCGGTGTAGAGAACCTCAACCTCATCCCTACCGGAAATGAAATGCTGGATCCCTGCAACGGATTGCTCCGTGCTTTTGCTGGTCGACGGATAAACGTACCTGAACTGCGTATGCACGTCCTTGATCACAAGAGCACACCACTCACCTTTGATACCTTGCTCGATGTTGGCCTTGAGAATCACATGATCAGCAATGATGTGATCTCCAAACGCTTTCGTCTCGAGCCTTCCCTGCCCGCCTTTCGATCTTGCATATGGGGCAAGCATCTTGGCACGTTGGCAAGTGCGGCAAAAGGGATTCTTCGGATAGTGTGCAAACAGGTGCTCTTTGGTACTTGCTTCGGCAACCAGATCTTGCTCTTTGCGGGATCTCACAAACCGCTCAACTTCATCGTCGGGATCATCACCTTCGTCGATGCCTTCGTCATGAACCGGTGCAGGCGCTGGCTTGGATGCACTCAACGATGGCTCAGCTTCGCAACTAGAATCCATGTATGGCACATGACCGTCAACCTTGAGCTGGATCAGAGCACCATCAGGGCGAACCATGGTTGGCGCCTTCCCGGATTCCCAATGGAAGGAATATCCTTGATCCAGGCACTTCACACCCAACGACAGCACTGCGGGAGAACTCTCGAGGATGTAAGGCTGAGCAGGCTCACGCAATGCATCGACATTGATGTCGGCGATTTCGGAAGCAGTGATGTTTCCGTTTGCAGTCACAAGGCGAATAGGCTGAGGGGCCTGTTTTCGGATTGCCTTGGACGCGTTCCTCAAGGCAGCTTTGCTGATGAGGTCCTGCTCACTACCGGAATCAATGAGCCACACGTCCTTTCCCTTTGGGGCAGGGGTGGCTGCCCTTGGCGCTTCGACATCCTTGCGAACATCGTGAGGCGGCATGGCAATTCTCAGGCACTCATCACACGATAGGCTTGAGATGGAATCGGATTCCTCATCACACATGAAACCACAAGCGGGCTGGGCTCCATTCTCAATGGCTTTGATTACGGCATTCAACTGGTTCGCGGCCTTGCGTGCTGCCTTGTTTGTCCCTTTGGTCGGCCTGGGGCAGTCCTTAGCACTTGGGAACATCCTGTTGTACTGCCGTTCCTCATACTCAAGCTTGAAACCATCGCCTTCGGCGGGGATCTCGTGCACATGAGCATTAGTGTCAAATGACACCCCGATCGGATTGATCGGCTTTGCGAACATGGCGTGCCTGGTGCAGACTGCAGCGGCTTTGGCCTTGGGCTTAGGCTTATAGGTGAGTTAGCACGCTTCTTAGCCGCAGGATTGGCGTTGGCCTCGTTGCTCGATGCCGCGGCGGCTGATTTGCCGCCCGTGGAGGCATGGCTAAACTTGCATTTGTCACCTCTAGTGCACTTCCCTTGGGCAAAGAAAGAGCACGGTGCTTTCTCTCCCTTATTGCCTTTGGGGGAACTCGGCCTGCCACGGGTCGCGGAGCGTCCTCGCGGCTCCTTGCGGTGCGCGTAAGGGCAATTTGCCCCCCTCGTGCACGAGGTCTTCTGGAAATCAAAGCAGTACTTTTCCTCGGTGTCCTTCGGCTTAGGTGCGCTCTTTTTCTTGGGGTCCCTCTTTTCAGGGGCGGCGGCACCAGCCTTGGGCGTCGGGGCTTTACTCGCATTGACTTTGGACACGCGCTCTCGGTTCTCGCGAAGCCTGTCCCTCTCGATTAGATCCCTCATGCAACGCATTAGGAAATCGTACGACTTGTTGGGATCATCATCACGGCAACGATCATATGTGTCGATGTCATACCGCAACAGATGGCAGCTTCTCGCTTGGCGAAGCAGGATGTCTTTCAACACCTTTTCTTCTGGCGGCCTTTTCATGCCGGCGATCACAGAATCCCAAGCGTTTAGGAAACGCTTGAGATCAATGATTCCTTCGCCGTGTCGCGAGACACGCAACAGGTCCTCCAAGGAGTAGAGGTTTCCGGCTTCTTCACTGGTCTTGAAATATTGGTCAAACATAAACAAGACCTGCCTTCCTCTCATGGCCTTTCCCTCCTTGGCACATTCTTCCTTTGCTGTCAGGATTCGCTGAGCCAGATCACCTTTCCCTGAACGCGTGAGCGCTGCGAGAATCTTCGTGTCTAGTCACGAATTTTCCCGGTTCACCGAGCTCTTCCAACAGCTTCTTCTTGTCCTCGCGGTCAGACCAAACTTCCATGATCCAAGGCCAAGCCTCGTCTGGACGGTCAGATGCAGCGCGGACATCCTCACGAACCGATGTCTTCCATTCACGGTACGTTTCAGGAGTTGGCATCTCCTTGAATCACAACGTCTCGCTTTCGCGGGTTCTGGGCTTTTCGTCGTTCGTGTGGCCTTTCACTAACTTCATCAACATTTTGGCGAAGGCTTCTTGACCGAGGTTAGGCCCGAGGCCATCACCTTCGTCTTCATCACCTTCGCCATCGCCATCATCATCAGGTGGCGGACCGCCAGGGGGCTTGCCACCCTGCTTACGGTCAGTTGGCATTGGCCCCTGAGAGAATTGCAGGGGCGGGACCGGTGCACTTGTTTTCACCGGGGATCGGCTGCTACCTGATGGCTTTTCAGCTGGTCCTTGCGGATCGCGAGCGTCTGCAGGCAGTGCTTCGCTTTCGGCAGTTGGAATTACGCTGGGGGTATATTCAACCTCATAACCGTCATAGGTAACAAGCGACCTCAACTTTTCCTTTGCATATTGAAATGGATTGGACAACGGGTCCAACATTGACCTTTGGGACCGAGCTGATTTCATGTCGTCGGTCATCAACTCTGGTGAATCCTCTCGGGTATCACCTACCCCTTTGGGCTTCGATCCATCCTCGCGGAGGTCGTGTTGCTTCTGATACCTCTTCAGCTCATCGAGCTCGTCCTGCAGAAGCCCGTTTTGGTAGGCCATCATGTCAATCATCCTGGCGTTTTTCGCTTCGACGCGGGCTGTGTCATCGGCGTGCTTGGCGGCTTGCTCATGAAGGAGCTGCTGGGCCTCCGCCAGGGTAGATTCGATGGCTTGCCTAAACTCAGTTGTTTCGTGTCTCATTTCCACTTCATGCGATGCTTGGGCGTTTTCCTCACACACTTGGCTTATCCTAGCTTCAGCGAAGTTCACTTCTTGGATGAACTCATCGCTCACTCGCTGTTCGTATTCACGAATTCTATGCGACTGGGCTTGCACACACTCAGCGTAGTGTGCATGCAGCTGATTCTGTGCGACACGGAGCTCCTCACGGTTTTCCGCTTGCAAATGCGTGACAGCTGCTTGATGCAGGGCTTCGGCTTCAGACCTAATGGCTGCATCATTCCCAAAAGCAAAGATTGCGGTATTGTACAGTTGAAGGGAATTCATCAGGGTGCGGTTATACTGCGCATTGGCGCTTGGCGCGAACATTCGCGCACCGCCGCCGGTGGCGTTGTCGGAGCTAGCTCCGACAGCGTCCACAGGCATGTTGGATCCATCAACTGGCACAAGGGAACCGTCCATTGCTTAGAGCTAGGGGCCTACGGCTGATAACCTATAGATTCAAGGGTTACCGGTTTGGGGCCCAAAAGGAAACAACAAACCGTCCAAGTGCGCTGCTCGCACATTTTCACGCTTGAACAGCCACACTGCGGATGCAACGGATGTAAAACCCCGTAATGACCGATCTAATTCTTCAGAAAGTTCTGCCTAGCTCCCTTGTGAAGAAAACGGAAGCAACGAAAACCAAGAAGGCATCTCAACACCCAAGCGGCGAGGCACGTTTCTGCACTTGTCGAGCGGTGCGCTAAAAAACGATCGGCGCCTTCTTGGCCGGCGTACTTTTCTTCAGCGCCAGCTTGTGCTCCGATTTCCTGGGGAAAAGCTCTACCCGCTCCAGTGCACGTGAGGTTTGCCCCGGTCCGGGGAAGTTAAAATAGAAGCTACTTGAAAACATTGTCAGGCTGCGAATTTCATTTGGGAACCCCTTGGTGGGCATCATTTATGTTGAGTATTTCCATTTTGGAGGGGGTGCTCCATTAGCATTAAGAACAATTTGCTCCACTTGGACCTTTGGCCCCCCCGCCGGGTTTATCTGTCCAAGGTCATCCCCTCAGTGAATGATGCGGAAGTCAAGGGGTCATGTGATCCCCCCCCTCCCCGCCGGTGGAGCATTGCCATGAGAAAAGCCCATGTAAGTACCACTTCCCCAAAGGACGTGGAAAAGGTTCGCCTTTTGGGCTTCCCTGAAGTAGGGTCAAAATATTTTTCCGGTGTTTGAAAGAAAACTAATGGAAGCAATGGGGACCCTGGTCTTTTTGCCGACCTTGTGGTCTTTATGGGCCAAACAACAGGATGGGATAGCAGAACCAAGGTCGGGAAGCACTCTTTCCCAAAAGGCCGCGTTTCCAGTTGCTGCCCAGCTGGTGACCAGCCCTTTCCTTTGGGCGCCGCGCCCAATTTATTGCCCAGCCCATGCCTGTACACGCCCACGCGAGGCTGACCATTGCTCCAAACCCCCATACCCAACCCCCAAAGTTCTGCAAAAAATTGGTGCGGACCCCCGGAAAAAAATCAAGCACGTTCAACGGGGCCTGAAAAGGGTCTCTCATTTTTGGGACGCACCCCAAAGGGTTTGGTGCGTTCCGATCCCAAGGAGCCCCAAGTTGCCGAGGCGCGGCGAAGCACCCGACTTTTTCTGCTCTTCGACCTGACGGTCCGGTGTGAAATGGCGCCTCCGGGCGAGTGAACAGGACTCTTACATGCGAAGTCAAGCGTTCCCAAGAGGAATCCCGAGAAGAACTCGGGATTTCTACCAGGATGGGTGTCTTTCTTTGAGTTGGCATTGATTTATGGAGCTGTTTCTTAAAGCGGAAGCAAAATGAGCGCCCTGTTTTGGGGCGTTGCCCATTCCGCCCTATCTTGTCATGTGTTTATTCTTGAGGTGTCCGGATATCTAACGTCTGAAGTTGGCCATCCCTACCAAGCCTCAATTCAAAGGCGGCTGTTTAATTTTATCGAGGTACGTAGGCGAAGCATCTTCCTGCCCAAAAAAAAACAAACTGAAAATCGGCACAAAGCTTGCAGCCAAGACTTCAGTCGCCCACATGGAAGGGCCAGATTCGTCCCGGTGGCCCTCCGGTCGACCGAAAACCTCTGAACCGGCCTCCCAGACCACGCCGAAGGAGCCGCTTCCCAGCTCCTTGATGCGATCGAAGACCCGGCCATTCATGTTCACCTCGAGTCGATTCGCCGGAGTCGAAGTCGGGCTCCACGTGCCAAGGTCCCCCCCAGCAATTCTGATCTTGGCTTTGGCTTTTGATTTCTAGGGGACAAACTCTCACATGGAACCCAGAAAGGAAGGAGATCCCTCTAAAGATGGCCATTTAAGTCGGGAAGTGGGAAGGCAGAAATCTGAGAGGCCCCTGCACAAGGATGACACGCAGCCGCCTTGGCCGCTACCGAAAGGCCGAGCCAACCACTCTGGTCCTCTTCATGAAGAGATGGATCGCTTGCAGTGGGAGGAGGCGCACATGGCAAGCGGTCAAGTAGGTCCTGCAGGAGATACCTTCGAGAATGAGGAGAAGAACTCGGGCAAGGACTCAACGGAGCTGGCACGTGGCGCAGGCCCTGGAGGGGAAGTGGGTCTATGGGATAAAGGTGCCGCGGATCAGGAGATGGCCGAGGGAGGGTGCGGCGGCTTTGTGTCCGGGGAGAAGCTGGGCCGGAACGGGTCGGCGCGTGGGAGAAATGAGACCCTGGCTTTAGGATCAGAAGCAGGGATGACCATCTGGATGATGTCGGGAGCTTCGCACCGAGGCCATGATTCAGGCCAGTCTTGCGCGAGCCCCAAATGCTTCCTGCGGAGGTCTACCACATCGTCTCCCTGGGATGCGTCTAGCACTGGAGGGACTTTTGTGGATCGCGGCTCCCGAAGAACCCCTCCAGTCCTTCCGTGCGATGCGTGCTGGATGGGAGCCCTCACTCAGAGGCGCGGGGCGAGAGCCTTTTGGGAGCAGGACCGGCAGCTTCACTCTCCGTGACCGATGTGGAGGCGCTTCACTGCGGGTACTTCGCCCATGCAAGTGGTGCGTTGAGGGCGTGACGACCGCGAAAGGCGATGGACCTTTGCCTCTTGGTCAGGAGCATTTGAGGCGGCTTCAGCTGGAATGCACGGCCACAGTGTCTTTACTCTGCACTTTGTGGGAATCCTTTGAGCGGCACCCCCCACACAAAGGGGAGGAGTGCTGGCGTTTTGGGCCTGAGGCCCCAATCTAAATCGAGAAGTGTTGCGTCATGTAGGAAATCCGAAAGGCCCCTGCGCAAGGTGACACGCAGCCGCTTTGATCAATGGCCGACAACTTCGGGCTCCCATCTCAATCAGAATGAAGGCGAAGGCTCGCTCGTGCAGTTTGCCATAGTTTGTGGTTCCTGGACTTGTCCAGCCCACAGAGAGGGGGGGGGGGTTGCCTAGGCGTAAACAATTAGAATGGGGAGTTTCTCACGACCATAGGAGAACAACGTGTGTAATCATTTGGGCCCTTAATATTACCCCGAAGATAGGGGCAGACAAAAGTGAACATTGACTGCTGGGGTGTTGTTTGCCTTTAGACCACAATTCAGAGGACAATTTTGAGGATCCCATTTGAACCTACCAAATGTGTACACATGGTTCACCTACCGTTGAGACATCCTCCTTTCGATTAATTCTATAAGGTTGCTCAATCTAGTTTCTGTTTATTCAGTCTACATCTAGGTTTTGTGTCATATGTGGTCTGCCAAAGGGGAGACCCCAGCTAAAGGCGACCTGGGCTCGCCCCAGCACCAAACACACCGCGACCGAGGCGACCGAGCACCGAGGCGACCGAGGCGGGCGCCGGGGCATGTTCCGGCCGTGGCTTTGCCGCCGGCGAGATGGGGCTTTGCACAACCTCAGATAATGTTTGGTAGGGTGAAAACCTCATCTGTCCATCTAAATTGGCAACAGCAAAAGCCATCCGACTTGTTTACAACTAGAATGCTTCAACCGCACCTCCGAGGTGGATTGGCAAAAGCCAAAGAGCAGTTTCCAACTTGTCTTTGTCACTAGAATGGTCCAAACCCAGCGGAAGTACAAAAACTGGGGAAGTGAGCAGAAGTCTTCTTTGTGAGTATATTCTAACCTCCTTGAGCATCACACCACCAAAGGGAAACGTGCTCGAGATTGGCCCAAAAGCTTATGTCTAGCACATCCAAAAGGGGAAATAGAGAACCCGGGTACACCCCACAACCGCTTCCAAATGTGCGCCAGGCGAGAGGCATTCTTGGGAAACAAAAGCTGGATCAACCCACTTGGTAGAAGCTAGAAACCATGGTTGTAAGTGGGATTGGGGTTGGCAACGAGGAACCACGGTTGTAATTAACCTACTTGTTAAATGGTTGTACATCCAAGACAGGAACACTCGGCGCGTGGGATGGTGGCGTTGTTAAAAACCGATGTGTTTGCAGATGTTTTCTGGCCCCCTCTCAAAGTGAGCAAAACCCGAAACGCAAAAACACATATCCCTAGGAGGTTACAATGCTATCTTGTGAAAACAAATGAGCTTGTCTTGGCCAAACACTGGCAGATTTCTGCAGCCCCCGTCAAAAAAATGAGCAGCACCCGAAGAGGGGGGAACTTATCAAAAAACCAAGCTCAAAGACCTGCTTGCAAAAATGAAACAAAAAACGAAACCTGAAAGGAATCCCCTAGCAAAGGACTACATCATGGTGAGCTGATTTCATCCCCAAGTGAGCTCGCCATGAAATAGGCTATGTGGGCAGTCGCCACACTTTCGGGAAGACCCTGAGCAACGACGGCAACCAATGTTTAGGGCATAGTAAACCCCAAAATTGAGGAATCCCGTGAAAGGAGCCTTCATCGTGGGTGAGCTCGAACTACCCCATCATAATTTGCACAGATTGATCTGGATGACCAGACTAGTCAAAGGACTCCCCTGAACGAAACATTTCCCGACTAAAGGAAGAAACCACCCCCCATCAAACTGCTGATTTCACTAATAATGTTAACTCCAGATAGATCCACCTGCCGCATTTTTCGGGAGGTGGTGGCCTCAAAAGTGCAGGATCCTCTATCACAAATGGGAGACACACACACACACACCAACACAAACAATGAACCCGGGTTGTGGATCCCCTCAAACCCTGTCTTGTCCTTTCGCCGGATCTTTTGCTCGCGCCTTCCACCATGACTTCAAGTCAATATTGATTCGGGTCGACCCAAAAACGGATCCCTTTCTCTACAAGGGTCACTTGGATGACTCTGATTTTAGGTGTCCTTCGGAAACTAAGCATTAAATGGGAGCCGGCAATCCTTAGTGAGGAACCCACCAAATAAAAGGGACTTCGAAAGGGTTGAATCCAATGAACAACTAGGTTTCCTCTAATTGGTCTTTTGGAACGGATTTCCCACCCCAAATGTGACTTTCAGAACCCTCCAACGTGCTCACCTTAAAGAACAAAATAACGACCTCCAAAAAGGCTGTTTCCTATTCTTGGAGACCCCAAAAACCTCTTGGCTTCTTTTTGGTCCAGCAAAAAGCAGCTCGCGAGCCAGTCTCCGAGGGCGCGGCTACCCGTTTGCCAGATTGCGAGCTCGGCGGCGAGGGGGAGTGGGATGGCATTGTGGGCATCCTTGGCACACGCCTTCTGGTAGCTCCCTTGGCCTATCTTCTTGGGTTAGTCCCTTGGAGATGCTCGAAATCCCAAGCTGCTCGTGCTTGTTGGATGCTCAAAAAATGTCCTTGTGCTCAACTTTGTGGTTCCTTGATCCCTTGCTAACAGTGAAACTTCTGGTGGTAGATGTCATATGGGCGTGACTTTTCCTGAGGATACCTTCTTTTGGTGGGTTCAAAGGAAAACCAAATGGAAAACCACCATTTTGGGGTTCCCTAAAACATACACACCCATATGGCTGGCTGCCAAGCTTAACCGATCGATACATTGTGCGCCCTAAGCTGGGGGAAAGGAGTCCAAAAATTGGCAGCCGACATAAATCACTCGTTGATGTTCCTTCATCCAAAAGGGGGGGAAGCCTATTCCGACGTTGTGCGATTGTTTTACTGGTGAAGGGATATAACCCACGTCAACCCTTTCCCTGGTTTCCAAATGAGGCCTCATTTGGAGAGGGGGTTCAATCCTATGTGCCATGGTCAAAAAACACGTGTGCCGTGGTCGTGGTCTTTCGTTTAAGGAGCCTTTGCATTCGTTGAATATATTCGCAAAAGGTTGCTTCTGACCATCCAGTACCCCAAATGGGGTTGATCAATATTCATGGCCCCTAAATGACCATGGGAAACATTGTCCCACTTTGTGGGACATATCACATATCCTCTTTTGTGGTTTCCTCTGGTCATCAAATGTATCCGGGACCTGTTGATCAAACCACGCGCAGGTCTTGACCCCACGCGACGCCGGGGCCAAGGAGTGTCAGAGCCGGGCCCCCGGCGCGACGGACTTCCGCTGCTTCTGTGGAGCTGCCGTCGGCTGAGACCACAACGCTCGTGGGGCCACAGGACTGCGAAGCGGAGCTGAATTCGGAGGCGCGAAATCAAGAGCGGCGAAGCAGTTGGGTTCCCATACATCTGCAAAATCCAGTGATTCGTTAATTTCAGAATCCCTTACAGTTCCAAATGGGTTGGGTTCCAATCTGGAATCCAGTTCCAATGGATCAGTTGAGTTCCATACTTCTAGAAGCTGAACTAAGGGATCCCCAAGCAAAGGACCTTTATCACGGTGAGCTCGTTATATGTTCAGGTCAGCCTGCTATAAAATAGGCAAATGGATTCTAGTGAGTCCGGAACCGGATGCTACACACATCATTGCTGGTGAAACCAGTTTATTTGAACCCCGTTTAGGGTCCCCTGAACAAGCTTCCCAAATGCCATGAATGAATCCGCCACAAATGTTCTTCAGGTGTGCTCCCATGATGAGGAATCCAAAGAGGAAAGACAAAGTAGGCGGCAAGTAGGCGCCACTGAACACTTGGGGCAACAAACTCTACTTCTGGATGATGTGTGCTCCTTTTCACCCACTCAAATAAGGGGAACCCAAATGGAACAAGTCATGGATCAAGTCGGTCACGCAGCAAGTGGCGGACGCCTTGGCCGGAAGAGCGCCGCTCAGCCGCTCAGCTCTCAACTTGCAAAAAGGAAGAAAGAAGATTATCCAAACTAAAAACTAAAAACAAAACTAAAAACAACTAAAAAGGATGATCCATTTACAAACTAAAAAGAGCCCCTCGAAAGCAAGCTGGGAAGCTGGAGATCTTGGCGCGGCTCTGTCTATTCATCGGCGACGTCAAAGGAGCAAGTGCTCCGCGCAGTGGCAACGGCGACTCCACCGATCCCACGTCTCGTTGGCGCCGTACACCAACTACAGCGATTGCGCAGCAAACCACCGTTCCAGCAGCTTCGTGACAGGAACCTGGTCAAAACAACTTCCCAGGTGCCCAGTACACCAGGGGCAGAAAGGAGCCTGTCGTCAGGAGGACCTCGAACAAGAAGGGATTTAGAGGGCAGCACCCAACCAAGTCAGAAACCATTCATTTTGTCTGACCTTTCGGACTTTCCGAAGCGAAGGATTCCCAAAACAGAGTGGGAATCTAAGTCTGGCAGAATGGAAGGTTTTCTAGGATGTTTGTTTTTTCTCTGACAAATAAGAGAGTGAGATGATGGAACGGTCATTGTCCTGTTCGCGCTCCATCATTTCCCATCACCGGAAGTTGACGGAGGTAGAAGGCGGTGGTAGACAGGGAAGAAGGGAGCCAGGAATGCTATTCCCGATTCAATAGATGACAGGCGTGAAACAAATCTGGAAAAGATGGGTTCCTTCGTGGCATAAGAATAAATCCTAAGAAATGCAGTGAGGACAAGGTAAGAACAATAGCACTACATGCTAAATTACAGTGATAATTGATAAAGAGAGAGAGAGAGAGAGTGAGAGAGAGAGAGAGAGTGTATATGAGGATGAAAGTAATAAATTGTTAGTACCAACAATATTTTCTCCATTGCAGATTGTTCCAGAGAAGAAAAAAAACGAAGAAGACAGAAGTAATTCTAAGGTGTCATACAGATAGATTGGAGAGATATGTAAACACCAATTAATTACTGTTGTGCCAATTAAATAATTATTAATATTGTAGCTCCTGTAAAATAAATCATTGTATCACTTTCTAAGCCTAATGTATACAGCGGGTGTCCCCAAAAAAGACATCCAAGAAGAGAAATAGATGACGTGGCAAAGATCATTGATTCCGTAGCGAAGACAATCAACTGTCAAATCCTAGAACTTACATTATGGAACATATCCCAAATGCAGGAATGATTAAGATGTAAACTTCTGGATGTCCAAAAAAGCAAACACTGTTGATAGAATATCAGATCTCCTCAAGATATTGGATCAAAGAAAAGTGTATTAGACATTTTTCAAAGTGTACCAGATACGATATGTACTGTGAATAAAGAATGCAAGCTGTAATTGAGAAAGAGAACGGACATACTGGGATAGTCTTTAATATAAGGCAATAAGATCTCGGATTTAGAATTGTTGCCCAAAAACTAAGAGATGTAAGACATGAAGTATACCAGAGATTAATCATCCTATGGTAAGATTTCCTGTACTTGAAGGTGATAAAGTCAGAAAAGAAGTGGATACTGGTGGATATAGGTTCCATCCTGTACCGCCTCTAAATTATAAGATTAAAGAAACGATAAGGACAATTTATGAAAGTAGCATACTTATGATAGAAACATCATCAACTCTAGGATATACCACTTCTGGAGGTCCTTGAAAGATAGGGTCAAAATATTTCCCATATCCTCCAAACAAGCCAGGCATTACTAAAAACAAGATCCAAGAAAGCCATTCAATGTAATGCTTATAGTATAGAATTTCTGGTCTTCTGGAAATGTAAGCCCATTTCCTGATGAATACCATTCTCAGTATGTTTCTCATTGATTGTCTTGGTTTGTTTAGTGTTGGTATTCAAACAGCGCAAACACATCACGGTGTTTGGTGTTTTCAAGTGTGCGCTGCTTCTAACAGCTATTTTGTGATTGTTTGCTTGTTTGTTTTCATACATGTTTGTCGCCCTCAGGACCCACCAACTTTAGTTTGTTGCATTTTGGAAAACTTGAACACCCACGCATTTTTCCTCTGTGTGTTGTGAGTGCCAGTACCACAGAGAACAAGTTGCACTAAAACCAACATGACAACGAAGCTCTTGTCCAAGGAATCCGCCAAGTGCAAAAGGCCGTGGACACTTTCCGATTGCAGCGCTGATTGTCGGCTCCGTGTAGAGTCAGCAGCCATTTTGGGTTCGGTGGCCTTTGACTTGGGTACCCGCCCAAAGGGTGGGTGAACTGGATGTGGCTGTTGGAAGATAATTCCGGTGTTCGGCCACATGGAAGATCGGCCACATGGAGCTCGGGTCGGCGTGGGCTTCCATCGCCTGGATCTACAGCCTCTTGCTGCTTAAAAACAATCAAGGACGCTCAAAGGGCAAAAGGGCAACTGGGCCACCCCTCCCCCCCCCCCACCCCAAAAGAAAGGGGGGCTCCCTCAAGACACACACAATCACTGAGAACCGGCCACTTTCCAGTGTCAGAGTTAGACCCCGACAAACAGTGGCCTGCGTTTTGTGCGAAGCTGGCGATGTTTTCCAAACATCAAGCGGCCATGGAAAAAAGCGTACGTTCCCTTTTGATTAGTACTTAGTTGTTCGATTCTGAAGGGAAACCACCTCCCTCACCCTGACAACTTATCTGGAACACCAAGAAAAGTGGAAAAGAACTGTGTCATGGACTCGAATGGAAACGTCACAGTCCGCGACAGATCCGAATGAAGCAAGCCCCCGCCTGGCATACGTGGCTTGGCTCACCGGGGAATAGACCCCTAGCCACCAACCGATGCTTTCGATGCGACCCCAACTTCTCCTTAGGGACCCCTCCCCCTTGGGATTTCGAATGGGACTTCCCATGAGGGACTGGGACTTCGAATTCTTCCCCGAAAGCAGTATTCCCCTTCAGCGAGCTTTCTTCGCGGTTCGCCTTGAATCCATGTTGCGAATCCCTACCCCGTGACAACTCTACCCTCAAAGGAAAGGCGGCTTTTACCCCTTTCATCTTGCTTGGTGGAATACCCGACTTTCCCTTTGTGGGCCAATTCGGGACCATCCAGGCGATTGTCAACTTCAGACATGGATGTGTATATATATATATATATATGTACTAAAAACAACATGGGGATTTAATCTGACTTTCCAGGATTTGCTTGCACATTTGTGTTGTTGAGCGGTTCTTGTCGCAGTCGTTGCTCACAACCCTTCAGCCGAACGCGGGTGCTCTTTTGTTGATCACACAGCCTTCTCAAAAACCTTGACGAGGTTTGGGGCAGACCAAACGTGCAGAGTCTGCATCTGCGTGCAAACTAGACAACACAAAAATATGGAGAAGATTTCACTGGTCATCGGTACAGCTGATCTCCCCAGATATTCCAAACCGACCAATCGCACTGGCTTCATACTTGAGTGACGATCAAAGTCTGGAATTGAAATAGTGCCCAAATTCATGCAACGAAATGACAAGTCGGCCGGACCCATTTATGGCTGGGACAGTCCCCGACTGCCCTCCAACTACCCTGGTTTTTATTTTGGCTCACTTGCTATATGCATTGAATTATCCATGCGTTCGCTCTTCTATCCACATAGAAGCACATACTTGGTCTGTATGCGTGCTATTTCATTGGTGGAAAGCTGGAGGGGGCAAACCGGCCTCAATGCCCCAAGAGAGTCCAACGGAACTTGCGAGTAAAGCGACGGTTTCCGCATTTTAAGAAAAAACTGGCAAATATGATGTAACGCGGTATCATGGTGGGTGTGAAAGAACTGGTTGTCTAGCTCTTCCTTTTATTGTTCCAGACCTTGGCGCATTCTCCACAATGAAACCTTGTCCGTCCGTATCTTCCCAACCTACTCAGTGACCTGCGACTGAAAGTTGTTTATACATGGGTGTGTGTTTGCTTTAAGGGCCTCTGGATGGATATGATATCAAAAAAAGCCATATGTCCACTAACCATTTTTGAGTTCCAAATATTAAATTCATAACCACACTGCGTCGTAGCCATATGAGACCTGCCGCAACCAATCAAAACCCGACATGTACCATTCCCTGTCGGAATTGCCCCATGTTCAAAAGCCTGGATGTGTGTACCAATATGGGAAAAAATCAAGGAACTCCCTAAATGGGTTGGGCGTGAGAGATCGATGCGGCGGGCGCTTTGTCTGAATACAGGCGAAAAGGGAGCGCAACTCAAAATCGAACAACCCTACCTGCCTGACAGAAAACAAAACTGTCAAAGAGGGACCAACATCCCTTTTTCAAAGGCGCTACAGGTTTTGCATCCTCGAAGTTCCCAACTCCGAACCTTGCTCAAGAGAAACATCTCCTTCTTGCTTACAGCAGCCGTGCATGCTAATTGAAGTTCGGCTCCCAGGATATATAAATACAGCCGTAGAAAGTGCCCGCAAAACACCCAATAATTTTGTCCGTTGATATGTGTATACATATACATATGCTATGTATAGCTATGTGCTTACCGAACACCAAACAACAGATTCCATTGCTTTCCCAGGCGCTGTAAATGGCTCCAAGCAAACTTGCTGGTGCTCTAGTGAGAAACAATGACCCCCCGGAAAGAAAAAGGAGAACCAACAAAAAAACACAATCCCCTGGGTTCCTTCCCGACCCACCCCCCAAGCAGAGTCCTAACCCCCGCCTGGCACGGGGCTTTGCCCCGGCAGCAGGGGCTGGGGCTGCGCCACCGGCGCGGCAGCCTGCACCTGGCACCCGACCGTGCGGATCCGCGGATCCGCGGAGGCACGCGTAGGAGCCGGGCTGGCCTCGTGATTCCGCCATCTTCAAAGTCACCCAGGTGGATTGGATAACCTCCAAGCATAACAGCCAAGCGTTTCAACGTGGGAACCTTCGTTGCAGCACAACTTTCCAGTGTGTTTCACGCCATGAAACTCTGAGAAGGCTGGGTTCCGAAGGCTGTGTTGTAGATAAGCCCGCGACTTGAGGGAAGCAGATCCAGCTTCTGACTTTGATTAACCCCGTCAAAAGCACTAACGCCAAGCCTGTCCCACAACATTCCACGAAGAACTGTGTGTTCGCTCAAAAAGGGGGCGATTCAAGGTGGGGGGGGGGTAGTTTGCATCGGGTACGATTACATACATATATGTAGAGTATACAAGAAAAGCATTCTGCAGTGGGAATACATTTTTGGCTGGTTGGTGGGGAAATACTGATATCCTCAAACAGTTGAAGTTCCCCTGTGAAAGACAAGTCAGGTTCTCTGCAGTTTTCTTGCCTCAAAAGAAGCGTTTCGCAAACGGAGTGCCGTGGATGAAAAAAGAGGAGGAACAAAAAAAAGAGCGAACAGGACGCGTGAGCTCAGGCTGCTATTGGGTCAACCATGCCTTTTGCATCGTCTTCGCCCGAAGCCTCGCAATATTGGCCAGCGTGCGCCGTGTTTGGGCTTCCCATGCGGTTCCCCACAGTGCTTTATCTTGGTTGATGTCCCTTGGCTTTCCCTTTAAAAACCTGGTTGATGTCCTTTCGGTACCCTCAAAACAAGACTTGACTGTATTCGCCCTAAGCTTCCCCACCAATTTGAAGACCAAGGAAGAAAACTGGAGGTGAGCCTTGCTCGAAAAGCTGGGGTTTCACACCAGCAAACGTGGAAGGACACAGGTCTCTTCAAAGCGAAAGCCGGCCAGATGCAGTAGAAAGTGAAAGTCAAAGTCACAAAACCTGATTGAAAGTGAAAGTCGACCAAAGCCAGTTGAGGTCAAAGTTGGCCCAAAACCGGTCGACGCCAACTAGTGCCAGTTGACGAAAGTGCAGGTTCGCTTTAGCTGCACAGCCTTGGTGATGACGTACCGGTGGGGCTGCGGCGATCCGGCCTTGGCCCAAAAAAAACGGAACCCTGTCCTTCTTCATCAAGGGCATGTGCAAGGTAGACCAAAATAAGCTGGTAACGCAGCAAATGCACCTTAGATAACTGTAGTATATGGGTGTGGGTCAAAGTTAAGCCACCAGGGGACCGCAGGTTTTAGTCTTTGGTTCCATTTAGCAGGGTTCCATATAACCTCCGTACCTCCAAAACCCATATCTGAAGGTGGCCTTGATCTGGCCCCCTACCCACCTTATGATTGCTGAGCCCATGTTTATAGACCTGTTGGCTTAAAGGTCCAAACGTCCCACGACCTGGTGGTTCAATGGATTTCTGTTCCCATCGATCACTGAAACCTGACAAGCAGGGAGTTAACTGAGGCCCGCAGGCTTTTGGCAAGGGGTGAATCTCCGGGGATGGACTGGTCGACCCCAGCGTCACAATCGGCATCCGGGGTGGTAGATGGCCACAAGTGGGCAGGCAAATAAGCCAGTCAAGCCTCTCAATGAGCCACGACATTTCTACCGCAAGCTGTCACATGACCTCGACAAGGAATCAACCACACTTTCACAGGAGAACATGGGTTCTGCTCGTCAGCAAGATCGTTATTGGTCTGTTCATATTGAAGGTTTGGCTCATTTTCAACAATTCCTGTCCACAAAGGGGAACAGCCCTCTCCTCGAAAATCACATCGCAACACTGTTCAGGCAAACCCTGCAAATAGCAATACGGGCCTCGTATGCGGCTCTCGTAAGATGGCTCTCGCCTCTTTCCGAATCAGAGATGTTAGATGGAGAGAAGTACAGGGATGGGAGATGGATGATGGCACACAAATAAACCGACATGAAGGTGCCATCAGAATCCTTTTCTAGGAGCCCTTGGGATTCAAGAACCTGTCCTTGGCAAGCAGGTCCCTCCGAACTCTCACAACTTCACATAACTTAGCTTTTTGTAATGTCCAACCAAAGAGGCGACAACTGACTCCCAAAAAAAAACTATGCCACCCACCACGGCCCCCCCCCCCAACCACCCCCCCCCCACCCCCCACGGCCAAATTCGCCGCCCGCGGCCCGCGCCGGGGAGGTGGGGCTGGCGCCCGTTTTCACGGGGCTGGCGACCGGCTGCATCATCGCCGGCGCCGGCGCCATCGCCTAAGGAAGAAGAAACCACCTCCCTTTTTTCTCAGGATATGTGTATGTTTTTGGTGTCCCTTGTTGTTGTTTTTTGTTGTTGTTTCTGTTCTTCCCTTCTTCTTTTTTTTTTTTGGGGGGGGGGGGGGGAGAAACCCAACAAAATGTTGGTTTCCCTTTGTTCCCTTCAGAACTACACACAAAAGGGTACCGTCGAAAAAAAGACACCATGTGGCATATATTTCGCCGACCTTGCATAAAGGTACGTCCCCACAATTTCTGGCGAGAAGACGAGCATACGTATTCTGGGCAAAATGGATCCAGCGGGCCTGCTTGGATGTTCAACCCACATGCTGCCAACGTCCACCCAATTAGGTCAGTGTCTGGCGTCCCCCTTTCGTCCAAGGAATCCACGCAAAAAAAAAGGCGACATCGTCGCAGCCATACACGCCTGAGCCCCACCTCACCTTACACCCAAGGGAAAGCAAAAAAGGGACAAAGTGCAAAAGGAGAAAGGGGAAGAAAAAAACAGAAAGCAACAAAGGGAAAACCGGAACCCGGCAAGAAGATGCAAAAAGCTTCCAACTTTCATTGGCCAACCAAAAAGGGGCAAGTGAGAGGGGAACGCTTTTGGAGCGCGAGCCTTTTTTTGGAGGGGAACCCACCAAGAAGTTGCAACACTCCTCCAGCCCCCCCCCCCTTGGGGGGCCGATTCGATTCGATTCCACTTCCGCCTGCCCGGGGCCATGCCAGCTCACCACGTGGTTCGGGTGTCCTCCGGGAGCTCCGACCCCGGGAAATCCAAGGAAAACAACCTGTTTGGCGGTTTTTTTTGGGGGGTAAAATAGACAAGTGTTCTTGCCCCCCCCCATGGCGAGGGTCAAATGACTCGACAATCTGTCTTGCCTTGGGCGCGGTTACGCTTTGTTTGACTTGTGTTGCGGCCTGATGGTGCTTGATTTTGCCTTGGGCCCTAAACTTGGGTGATGTGTGAACCACAAAACCTTGGAACGGAGGCTTGCCCCTGCCCTGAGCAGGAGGGTCTTGAGGTGGTTTGAAGGGTCCCTTGCTGCTATGTTGATCCCTGCGAATGCTGCTAAACGTGAGCCGCTGCCCAAGGAAGGCTCCGAAAACCAAGGACCAAGCTCTTCAAAGCATTTCGGGTGACACCGTGGCAACATTGGTAGGAACTTCCCCAAACGAATGAAGAAGCCGCTGATGACACGGGGGGGGGGGGGGTTATGGCTACCTTCTAAAGCAAGCCGAATTACGATGAAGCAGAAAGGCACATTGATGCGACACTCACCCAAGTCTGAGCGTGTGGAGAATGGTTGCCCCTTCCGTGATACCAAAACAGGGAGTCCCATCCACATGATCACTTTAGCGGGGATTCTTATGGGACCAAAGTTGAATTCCGCATGGGGAATCATTTTTACGCAGGGGATTCCCCTTGACCCAGAGAAATTGAAAACGACTTCACCCCAAAGATCTAGTGCTCCGAAGATCCGAAAGGGTTTTCAAAAATGGCAAACGTCAGCCGTTTGCAAAATCAAAATTGCAATAGCGCTTCCGGCCCACATGTAGTCAACCTAAGCATGTAGAATGCTGTCAAGGAGGTCCAACGGGCTAGCAAACAAGCCTGCAAATCCCTTGCCTACGTCGTAGATTTCAAGAGGTTCGGTGCAGCAGATCCTGTGAGGGAAGCCAAAAGCACAAGGTCTTTGATAGGTTCTCTTCCCACCAGGGGTCAGGGGACTCTGCACTTCCATGGAAGCGTAGACTTCCGCTTCCCAAACAACTTCCAGATCTCCGAGCCCTTTGGCGCCGAATAAGAGATGGGTTCAAGTGAAGGCCCCACATTGAGGGCTGTCGCTCGCCCTATCCCCTTCAAAAATAACTGTAAAGGCCGAAATCATTTCGAACATGATTGTCCTACCATGACGAGTTTGGCTTCAAAGTACCCCACCCCATAGGGATTTCCATGCGCCCGTCGAGCCGGACGCGCCTGCCGGGATGTAGACCCTCGGTGCTTGTGCCTCGGAGCGGTTCCAACGAGCTTTTGCCCCGACAAGCCCGAGAGGGGGGGGGTCCCAGTTCAGAGGGAATCCTCCACTTGTGAGAAGAATCCCCACGAATTCCGCCAGGTTTGTTCGCTCAAAAGCAGTCCCAATTTTGCTCCTAGGCAAGACGGCACGCTCGAATCAGCGCGGATGTGACAAACACGCCGCGCACCTGTGTCCGTGTCAGAAACAAGGCAGGGAAGCCACATGTTTGCTCCTTTGTCACGTGTGCACGGCACACAGTTGCCGATTCTTTTTCATCAGGTCCCTGGAAGTCGGAACTCATGAACTTGCTAACACAAAGGAAACCCAAACTACAGCTGGCCATGACAAGTAGAAGTTACAGCTGAGCATAGATAGTCTGGGAAAAACAGTAAACCTGCTTTGAGTGATCCTTACTTCGCCCCTTGGTCGACCCGAGGCCCCGGCATACTGTGGGCTCGGATAGCTTTTGGCCTCCCAGGAGGATTGGCCGGTTGAGAAATTTTGAGGGTCCTGAACGGGGACTCCTTTTCCTTTTCAAGGTCTAACCACGCTGTTGACATTGTAATATTGCTTGTGTCAGAGGGTAACAACGCCGCGGTTGGAAAGATGATCCTTCGTCCTTGGCATAATCATGTCTTGTATTTTCTTTGAGGGATACCATAAGGCAAGAATGTCAACAAGAAACCAAACAAAAAGAGTTGGCGTCAAACATGTGAGCAATGGATTCATTCCCCAAATAGTGTTTACACTAAGGGGTTCTTCAGGCCGGTTTAGATCGAGGTTCGCGCTAGGTTCGCGTGGCCCTGCGCGTAAAAAGTTGTTTTCGGTGCGACAGTCTCGCACAAAATGGAGGCTCGCGCTGGCACGTGCGCCTCGCTGTGGCGCCGTTCACATTTATTCTTTTTGGCTGGCAGGGGCCACAGCTGGGAAGTCGCGCCATGAAATTTTGAGGAAACCGCTGCGACGCGGGCGTGTTTTTTGAGGAAGCCTGCGCCAAACGCTTTTTTTTGCGAGCAAAGTGCGTTTTTTGATGGCAGGGCCGCCACGCGGTTATATCTTCTTGTCGGGTCACGCCACGATGCTGGGACAATCGGAGCCCTAAAGCCATGGCAGTTGTCGCAAAAACTTGTCTTGCGGGCGAGAGCTTTGGCCGAATCGGACCTTTCTTCCAAAACTGCGGTTTGGCTGTGGCGCCGCGCCGATCTTCGGTGCTTGGTCCGCGGCAGCTCCGGCTTGAAAATCGCTACTTTCAATTGCGAAAGTAAACCCAGAGCTCCGGCTGCAATATCGCAACTTTTAAGTGCAAAAGTTGTGCGCGAAGTGCGTTCCCCATGGCTCCGGCCAAAGTTGTGTTCGCGAAGTGCGTTCCCGCAGCAGCTCCCGCTCCGGCTGCAAAGTAAGCGCGCTCTCGCAGCTCCAGCTCGAACATCGCAACTTCAATCTTTAAGTGCGAAAGTATTGTTCGGAAAGTGCACTCTCGCATCTCCAGCTCGAAATTTGCAACTTGCAAGCGCAAAAGTAGTATGCCAAGTACATTTCTGCAACTAAAACCGCCAGCCTTCTTGCGCAGCCAAACTGCACGCAGATATGGACAAGAGAGGTTGGCAAAAGAAAGGGGCATGAAAGGTTGGGTGAGAGAGGTTGCGCAGCATCATGCGCGAGAGGGACCGTCACGCATAGCATCATGCGCAGCATCATGCACGGCGTCGCGCGCAACGTCGCGCGCAGCATCATGCGCAACATCACGCGAAGCTTCACGCGCAGCAGCGTCAAAACACAGCGCGGCACGCAAGAGAAGTTGACAGGAGACATCTTTCCGAAGCGCGGCGCCAAGCTTGCTCATCAGAACTTGCAGAAGCTAGAGTACGAAGGGACATTGATGTGTTTACGCTTGTTTCTCACCAGTGGGAGAGGTGTCAGAGTTTATTTAACGTAGCCCCCTTCGCAAAAAGATTGGTCCAGGCCCCCCTTCAAATGAAACCTAGGCGTGCAGAGCCCCAGGCCCGAGTGGCTGTGTTGGCCATGAAAGCCATGCGAAGCAAATACGGCGATGCTACGACTGCTCGACTGCACCTTGAAAGGCGCAAACATGTCAACGTGGTACATTCCGGAAACAATGCACTAAGGCACAAAGCGTGGTAAATCACAGGAGCTTTGCCATCTAATGGATTGCGTTCCCAGGCAAGTTTGTATAAGGCTGTGGGTCAAAAATAAGGCAACCTCAAAATGGCTTGCTGCAAATGGAATGCACCAAAACCTGCGGACTGCTTAATTCTCACCACCCATTGAACCTGAACGTCGGCTTGCCTGTGTCTTTGGGTAATGTACCCATCCCATGGTTGTCAAGGATCAAAAACCCCCAAAAAGATCCCTTTTAGCCCCTAAGCCTTATTAGTCGCTATTAAACCCTATTGGGCTTGTCGGCATATCCAGCGCCCGCCCCAAGAACCGCTCCCGAGCAACCCCGTGCTGAACCGGGCCTGCAGCATGGCTATCTCACGCAGCCCTTGAGAAAAATTCGCTGGCTGCGGACCCAGGCAATGCATGTGGGACATGACGCTGGTGTTCATTCCAAACTCGTCATTGGCTCCGGGAAGGTCACAACAAAAACAGAGAACCATTGCGAGGAACATTGGAGCCCCTACTACCGGAAGATTCACGACGCCAAGAAGCCAGTGAAAACTGCCTGGGAAATCCCATCCAAAGCTGAAGGCTTGGCAAACACTTTCCCATTCAAACAGGAAAGCTTCTTCCCAAGTCTTGGGTGAGCAACCAAAAAAAGTGTGCCCTTCTGGTGAGGGGCGGGCGTGCGGGTTGCGGATTTTCGCTGGAGCCTTCGGGGATTTTGGTGGTAAAACAAAACCGTGAGATTGCAATTGCATTTGTCCACACCATGTTTCAACATGTGCCATTGGCCTGGCGAGGTCGCTGTAACTTGCCCAAAACCTGCCGAAAACTTGGGGGTCTTCAACATCTGGACAGCGTCGAAACCAGGAATCCCGCTCTGCCCAATGCGTTTCCCTTTCCGAACTCCTCTGGATTCTTGTCCCAGGTATAACTAGGTCCCGCAGTAGAGAGGATAAGGGTACCCTTTTTTTCTGTAGTCTATTTTAGTAGGGGAACCCTCCCCCAAAAAAGGGTAAAAGGGTACTACTGGGGGACCTAGAGAACCATAGCTATACTCAGTGGGTTGAACATCCAAGTGGACACAGCCCGCCGATCGGATTCTCGGGCCTCGCGTTCGTTTCCTCTCCAACGAGCCGGGCAGTTGCCTACAGCCTGGCGTCGGGCACCGAAAAAAAGGGGGCCAGCGAAGAGGATGGCTGGGCAGGTCCAGCCGTGGCCCAACAGGGGCAAAGAAAGATCCGTTTTCTGAGGTTGTGTTCCTAAAGATGAGTTCCTAACGAGTTCCTATGGTTCTGAAGGTCGAACTTTCCCGTGCAGGGGGAAATGGCCGTTGCGTCCCGAATCACGTGCAGTCATTTGTCCGAAAAGGTGCTGAGTGGGGAAGCAAGCATTCTTCTGGAACATGTGTGCTGCTTGGCTGCGGGTTAAAACCAATGGTACCATTTGGGGTAGGTGCACCACCCATCTTAGTCTATTTTAGTGGGGATTGGGATGTTCACTGGCGGTACGGGATTTTGACCCATGGCCACTTCGGAATGCCCCGAAATACCAAAGCAAACCACCAAGCAAATCCCTGATCTTCCTGACGGGCCACAACCGCCGGTTGATTCAGTTTGGTCTGGACCTCCCCGCCCGAGACGAATCCCAGGAGATTAAACTCAGCGCAGTAACAGCGCTGTCAGCGCGCCTGTCAAATCCGCCGCTAGCAGCTGTCCGAAAGAAACCCAGACATGACAAATGCGCCATCAGTAGTTTCTCGTCTCTCCCCTTTCAGCGACCTCCGAAGGCAACTCAGCTCCCAGAAATGGTGCAAAAAAGATGATGCCAAAAACTGTGAACAAGACTGCCCACAAAACATGAGGGATAAGTTGGGACAGAATCATACTCAAAACCTAGGCCTTAATAGTAAAGAAGTCTACCAAAGGCCCGTGAAGATTCAAACGGGCAAGCGCCGCATCATGCCGCTTGGTTGGGATTTCACATTCATCTACCCCATGGACCCCATGGATGTCAGTGGACATTGATGAGATCAAAGATGTAGCTTGGTTTGTTGCTCCCCTAAACCTTGAGCTTCCAGCCAAACAAGGCTTCCCGTTCTCCCCTCACGGCGAATCGCGCTGTTCAGGGCTTGTCAGGCCGGGCTCGATCCGCTCGGACCGTGGATTCCAGGACTTGTTTCCCAGAGAGTAAACGCGCATGAAGCAAACTCGTACCTTGCGGGCTTCTAAAGCAAGTCTTCCGCGCCCGTAAACATTCTGGGGCTTTGACTATGAGGAAACCCGCCGAAAAGTGGTTCTCGAGTGTCATCACTCGGCTGGGGTCCGAAATCGGCCTCAACCCCGGCAAAGGACCCAGTCTAAAAAGCCCTGACGCCCGCCGGGCGAGCGGGCCATGGAATGGCGGCTCGGAAGGCCGAGCCGCCTTTGTGGGAAGGTGGCTGGGCTGTGCCAAGGCGCAGATCTCGTCGTCTTTGTACTTTTCTCAAAACAGGGCCCCACGAAGTAATTGGTTTGCCTTAGTTGCTCAAGAAAAAACAACCAAATGGTACCTCCCTCAGAAAGAGACCCGCTCAGCTGCTTGTGTCATCAAGATATTGGGGGATGGGGAGGCCCGGTCTTGGGTTAGTCACAACCAAACCTGGTCTCAAACTGGTCTACCCGAAACTCACCAAAACAACAAACACATCAGAAAGGGACGTCCGCGCTGGTTGGGACGGTCCCTAGCGCGTCAAGAGATAAGTTCTGTACTTAACTGTCAAGAGATAAGATCCGGGCCCTTGCTTTTTTCTTGAACTTGCCAAAGGTGTCACTAACAGATATCAGATATAGGTGCATCTGTGTTTTTTCCTGCTGGGGTTCCTCCGGTTGGTTTTCAAACAGAAAGGAACCCGCAGCCAGCTTCGGGTCCAGTCTGTTCGACACAACTCCAATTTTACGCCAACAGAATTTCGAGCATATGTCCCCATTCGGGACGAAAGTAGTTTTCGGGTGGGAAACTTGGTGCCGAAAATGTGCTGCCCTTTGCCTGGAGTATTTGCTGGCGACGGCATGTTCCCTCAAGTGAAGGTGGCACTCGAAGGAATTCCGCTTTTTCTGGACCCCTGGTTGATTTTGAGCTGAGAATGTCCACTTTGTAGTGGAGATTCATCACTTTGGAGGGCCCCCACCCCCCTATCAATCAAACCGGCTTATGAATCCGGGGCCAACACTAGATGGGACACTCCCGATCAATGGACCAGGGCCTTATGAAAACTCTGGACTCCCCATTCCGTTGCCATGGATCCCCCTGGCTCCATGCTAACGCTATGAAAGTGGGACCCCGTAGCGGCAACCTTTGGGCAGAAAAAGCTGCGAGTTGAAACGTCCATAGACCTCCAAGTTTGGTATTCAAGTCCTCACTCGCTGGCGATGGTTCGTGGCTTTGAGAGCCCGGACATCCCCAAGTTTTCGGGGGGGGGGGGGGGGGAACGAAAACTATTCGGGAACCCTTTGGTGGAATTTGCATGCAAGAATCTTTGAAGGGGTTCCCTAACCTTTTTCCAATGATGGAAGCTAACAGGCATTCGAAAGACTAGCTTCCCCTTGAAAAAGGCTCCACTTCCATTCTCTGAAAAACATTGACTCATATAGAACATGGTCAAAGAGGGGGTGCGGTTTCTCAGATGCTTGAGGATACAACCCTGGTGTACATTTCTGGGGATTTTCATAAAAACGCCTCTGCGCCGATCCGTCTGGCGGCCACTTTCCCAGCAAAACAAATCCGCCACAAACTTTCGCTTGCCTGAAGAGAGGGCAACTTGGATGCTCGGCCGGTCGGGCTTCATAGATTGCTACCAGGTAGCTTACCCTCTCACCCACAAACCTGGAACCAACCAGAGGGTTGCTTTCGGAAAAACCGTCAGGATCCCTCAGCGAGGTTCCTTCTTTAGTGGGAGGGTGCATCAGTTGGACCAACCACTTGTGAGGGAGTTTCCCAAGCCGTAGCCAGTTGGGTTTCACGAGTGCATTAGGATTCACTGACCCAAGTGACCCGAGCATCCTTACGGAAGACTGCGGAGACTTCCGCGGCTTGTCTTCCCGAAGTCGCGTTCCCTTCCACAAAGCGTTTCATTCAGAAGACTTCTGTCACGCAAAATCTAATATAGACTTTGCCGCGCCTGGGGACTGCCTTCATCTGAAAAATAGGAATAAATCTGGGCAACCAACAAGTGCTGATGCGACATCAAGCCGGCAGCATTTAGGACATCACGAGAGAACATGCAGCAAAGCCAAAAGCCAAATGCTCTGCTTCCAACCAATGCGCTGCCGTAGTTTGCACTTTCCCGACATTTTGCAGGGTTCCGAAGAAGTGCGGTCAGCGATCAAATCATTCTGACCCCCATCTTGCTGGTTCTCAGTGGGGATTTGTTTTGAGGCTTATTTTGGGAATGCACCGGAATGAAGGAAACCACCAGGAATGGACCTTGTGGTAGTCGTTCTCGCATTCTTTGAGAACTCAGAGACAAGCGAAGAGCCGCCAAAGTCTTGGGTTCGGGACCTGCGAGACAAGCCACACTTCCGAAAATGTAAAAAGTTAGATGGCCCTTCCCCAACAGATTCCTCGAACTTGGGTCCCTGGCCATGATAAGCCCACCTCTTAAAGGTGTGGTGATCTTTGAGAATTGTTTGATGCCTCCTTCAGAACAACCCCTTTCCGAAAATGAGTTGGTCCAAAGCCTTGCTGAAAATGAGTTGGTCCAAAGGGCCAAGCGCAAATAATGCTGACCCAATATTCATCAACCCCTGTTTAGTAATAGGGAGGGTCCCTGGGTTCAGTGAAGAATCATCACTTTTGATATGGGGTTAACATTATATTTCTCAATGCAGCCAAGAAGCGTGATATGAAGAGTGTTTTGGGACACTTTCGTATTGCACATGTCTCACGTCAGCATCCGGGCATACTGGACAGAAAACCAAAAGGGCAGAAAGGCGAAACAACCTTTCCAATGGTATGTCAACCCACGACTAAAAAAGCAAGCCCAGGTATCCCGACAACAGCCCGGACCGAACACCTAAGCTTCTCCGAACTACCGGTTGCTGATAGGGGAAACACAAACACGGAAAACATGCCAAGAACAGCCAAGCAATGTGGCTGTGGGTCCAGAATGGGTGCCATCAAAATCGAACCCTGGTAAATGGCAAGGACTACAACCTGCGGTCCATATCCTGGTTGAATTTTGACCCATACCCGTCTAGAGTCAGATTCTGGCAATCACAGGTGAAGGGTGTTGGCCCCCTGAATTCAGAGTCGAGAGGCAGCTGCGGACCCGATGGGACACTCGGCTCTAAGCCGCGAGCGGCTCAGTTGCCGGATCTAAAGATATCGAACGGCATGTTACTCCTTGATTTGGGGCGTCCTTTTTTTGAGGGCGCCCCAAAATGGCCTTTTGGTTTCCCTGTCAAACAACCCAAAAATCAGACCCTCAACTAGACCACGGTTGGCCCGAAAGCATCACAGCCCCGTAATCATTCCCGCTCAAGTTTTTTGCTCGATGTGCAATCTGTCAGCTACAAACAGCCATCAGCTACAGCAAGAGGAGCACTTCACTTTCGAAGGCGCTTCCTCTACTCTGCAAGAAGAGGAGCGCTTCATTTTCGCTTGTTGCTCGCGACCTCCGGCCCCAGACCATGTCCTTCTCTTCTTGCGCTTGGCTGCGATTTCCCCTTCAAGCCACGGCAGGCCATGACGAGCCGCGCCTGCCTGGAGTCTAGCTACTGCGCGCCGCATGATATGCTCTTGAGCCGATGCTGAGATAGCACTGCCACAGGTTTGCAAAACCTGACCTGGTCACGAGCAACACACAACGACAATTCCTTGTTCCTCTTGTCTTGCCACCTATCGGACCCCTCACACGAGTTTGCCAAGCACGTCAAAGATGACACATAAACCACCCTCATGCAAAACAGTGACTACAACGCAAATGATGACTCTGTGCAATGACTCTCATGATGAATGACTCTCATGATGATTCTGTGCAATGACTCATGTGATGACTCTGTGCAATGACTCTCGTGATGACTCCGTTCAATGACTCTTCTGTGATGACTGTATGCTGTCATGATGACTCTGTGCAATGACTCTCATGATTCATGATAGTAATTCTCCCAACGGAACAACCTGACTTTTGCTCTGCCCAAGTTGCCCTGCGCTAGCTGCTCTGTGCAAGTGCTCTGTAGAAGTTGCTTTGCACAGGTTGCTCTGCGTCAGCGCTCTGTGCAAGTTGCTCTGCGCAAGTGTTGCCGCAGATTTCGGGAAGTACTTCGCATACTAGTTTTCTACTTGAAAAGTTCCATTATGCAGCAGGAGCTGCAGGACTGTACTCAGCGCACTACATTTAGACTTAAAAGTTGCGATTTTCCAGCCGGAGCACTACGTTTGCACTTAAAAGTTGCGATTTCTGTCTAGAAAAGCTGACCAGGCAGGGATCGAACCCGCGACCGTGCGACTCCGAGAGCAGCCGCGCCAACCACGCGACAACTTCCAAAGACCGGTTCGCAAGCAGCACGGCGCCACAGCGAGAGCGCTTCGACACGCACGATCCCCGCAGAGGGTTCATCGGCGCTTTGCAAATGCGCACGGCGCCGCAGCGACAGCGCTTCGACCACGCCGATCTTCGCAGGGTGGCGCGGGAATGTTAAAAATCGTAAAATCCTCATCTTTTAGCGTCGACCACGCCGAACTCCGCAGAGAGTCGCGCGCACAGATTAAAAATCGTAAAGAAAAACCCTCAGATTTTTAACATCGACCATGCGGATCTCCGCAGAAAGTCGCGTGGGAACCGCAGAAATCGCAAAAAAGTCCTCAGCTTTCTAACGTCGACCACGCTGATCTCCGCAGAGGGTTGATTTTCGTAGGGTGCTGTCGGCCCTACCCCGCCGCCCTAAGAAGAGAAGAAAGGAATTTACAACTCCTTTCATGAGAACTCTCATGAGCACGGCTCCTCGCCAGTGACTCTCATGAGCATTGCTCCTCGTCAGTGACTCTCACGAGCGTTGCTCCTCGCCAGTGACTCTGACTCTCTGTGCAATGACTCTGTGCAATGGCTCTCTGCAAATGACTCTGTGCAATGACTCTCATGATGATTCTGTGCTATGTCTCTGCGCAATGACTCTCATGATGATGATGACTCTGTGCAATGACTCTGATGATGATAGCTCTTTGCAATGACTCTCATGATGATAACTCCCATGAACCCAACGGAAGAACCCTCGCCATGCTTTCGGCTGTTTGGGTGCCACTAAGGTTCACGATCTTCCCACAAAGTATGAATCCCAGCATGGTCCAGCAACTCAGGGCAACCTTTCTTTTTCTGGGCACAAACCATGGATTCCACCCTTTGCACCCTTGATCATAGACTTTGTGTGTCCGTGAAAAAAGCCATAATATATATATATATATATACATATATATATATATAAATATATATGGTCACCCCTATCCATGATCCACACCCCCATGTTGCAAACTAGAAAACATACCAAAAATGCAGGAAAACACGTTTTTCCTTGTTTTTTGTTATACAAAGGCATATCAGATTCTGACCAGATTCTTTGAAGGATATCATCTCCAGATGAAATGGGTCGGTTCAGCAGATGGTTTCCTACATTTGAAGGATGAATCCAATGTTGGCCTTCAGAGTGAGATAGTTTTGAGACTGGATGCAAGCTTGAAGTGCTGATGAAGAAGCTGTGACATTTAGGCCCTACAGCATCTTGGGCATCCAGGAGCAGCCAGTGCTGAGAGGCCTCTATTTTTTCAGCTTCCAATGCTCCAAAAATAGAGGCCTTACAGCATTTTAGGCATCCAAGAGCAGAAAATGCTGTAAGGTCTCTATTTTTGAGGCTTTGGAAACCCAAAAGATAGAGGCCTTACAGCATTGTTGGTGCTCAGAAGCAGAAAATGCTGTAAGGTCTCTATTTTTTGAGCTTCCAAGGCCTCAAAAATAGAGACCTTACAGCATTTTCTGCTCTTGGATGCCTATTTGTTGCTTCCTGATCCAAAATACTGTAAGGTCTCTAAAATCACTAAAAACCCTGGACAAGTCTTGGGGGCCTTGAGGCTTCGAGACCTGCCCAGGATTGCGTTTTTAGCGATTTTAGAGACCTTACAGTATTTTGGAATCTCAGCAAGCAAACAAACAGAGACCTTACAGCATTTTTGGTGCTCAGAAGCAGAAAATGCTGTAAGGTCTCTCAAAAAATAGCGACCTGGCAGCGCTTTCTGCCTTTGAGCACCAAAAATGCTGTAAGGTCTCGATTTTTGAGGGCTTCCATATGAGAGTGAAGGATGACCTTCCGGTTAGCCAAGTGCTTCTTCGCGATCGGCATCCAGTCAACCTTCCTGATGGGTCCAGGGCCAGGAGCTCTTTGGTCTTCTTCGGGTTCAAACGCTATAGACGAAGGGATGGGTCGCCCTCGTTCAACCAGTCCACCCCACTGCTCCCATGTGGTGTTGTGCTGGTGCTCGATTGTCTCATCTGTGAGCTTCCCGATGTCGACCTCATGTCCTGCCAAGCGCCACCGTAGGTGATGTTCCTCTCCTGCTTAGTGACATAGTCTGCCCTGGCGACATCCAAATTGGCATAGATGCGCTCCACTGCCTTGTGGTCCATATCTAGGACCAGGTGAGCCGACTGGCATGACACGCCAGCCACTGCGCAATACAGGGCGGCCACTTGCTTGGAGAGAGGTGTAGATGACTTGCTCGATGACATGAAGAAGACAGGATGAAAGTCGTGTGGCTGTAGAAGTTTGTGGCAGTAGCGATGGTTGCACCTGTATGCCCACAGCTTCTTATCCTTGAAGAACTTCAATGGGCCCATGACGCCTTTACCACAACGAGGGCAGTGTTTGCCTTTCCAGCTCGACAAGATCTTGTCCTTGAGAAGCTTCTGCAAGAGCTTGGAAGGCGATAACATCCACTCCTGAATGGATCGGCCCCATCGAGAGCGATGGCCTCTGTTCTTCGTGGCGGGAACACCATGACGAACATAGGCCACAGGTGTGTATTTCTTGTTCGCGGCAGGCCTCCTCTGGACCCTACGCTTGCCTCGCTTCGAGTCTGGGAAGACGGGCTTCTTCTTCATGGCTTTCATCACCCCCTTCGGCATTAGGGCAGGAACGAAAGGAGTCAGTCACAGGATAGCTGTTGAGCAACAGACTGCGCGCAACTCTTCGTGTCATGGAGTCATCCCAAGGTAACACCTAACCAGCATTCCTCATGAGGTCATATGTATGCATATGCTGCACACCTTTTTTTGGCTGGGCGCATTTTGCGAAGGCCTTGCATTTGTCATGAGACGGCTTATAGGTTTGTGTCACCCACTACAGACTACAATAAAAACTAGCCTTAGCTCAGGCAGTCAGGCATCTCTAGGGCGGTATCTCAATCCTCGACCACATCCACCTCCTCGCCGCCAATCACCTTCTGCACTTCCATGGCCAACTCTTGCGACAAAGAAGGCCGAGCTTCGTTTTCGAGGTCGCTGTTGGAGGGCAGGTCCACCATGGGATCAAAGATCTCCGGCTCTGTGATCTTGTCCGTTTGTTTTTCCTCAGGAGACGCAGCGGAAGACTTGACCTGGACACTTGGCTCCTCAGGAACCTTGCCTTCCGGCGCATCAGACGAATCCGAGAGGTTGATGACGAGAGGCCGCTTTGAGCTCTTCAAAGAAAACGATGGGGTCCCAGAAGGCTCTCCAAGTAGTCCTCACTCTTTGCTGTCTCAGGCACTTTCATCTTGGGCTCCTCAGGCATATCTCCGTCTTGGGCTTAGCTTCCTCCGTCTTGAGTTCTACTTTGCTTGAGAGCAAAGCTTCAGAGGATTTCACAGTGCGCAACCTTTTCGCAGGAAGTTCTGTTGCAGTACTTGGTCTTGCCATCAATCCCAGCCAGGGTAGGCCGCCCCTCCTCGATGTATTTCCGTCCAGAAAAGAGCTCTGTTCCCTTTGTGGTGGTGCAAAAGGGTACGTCCTCCCCGTCAAGCCCTGCCTGCAACAGATTCAAACTCCATTGCAGGTCTTGGTCATAGCTGGCAGGGGGTCTGGTGAAGTTGCCCTGCTTGTAGGCAGCCAAGGTTGGGCGCGCCGCTGGCGAGATCATGCCAACATCATCCTCCGGCCACGCGTGGCGCTTGACGGGGTCTCGCTTTGTGCCAGGCAAGCGAATGTAGATGCCAACCTCCGTGAAGACCACAAAGACACTGCGCTTGAAGACTCCCATCAAGTCCTCCTCATCGAATTCCTTGTGGAAGGAAGGACGAACAAGCTTGAAGAAGATGTCAAATGGCACAGTGTCGGAGGTTGCATGTGGGCTCATGGGCGGCTCGACCGTGCGGTCGTAAGGATTGCTGCAAATCTGGTACAGCTGATTTTTCTCGTATGAGGATGCGTTGTATCGGGCCATGGTTTTCCGATCAACTCCGTCCACCTCCGTGACGGCTTTGACTGCAGCGGGGTGTTCGAGGTTGAGATTCCCGTCGTCAAAGACTCGGGGCTTCGTCTTGCGGCCCTTCTCCTTGCGGAAATAATCCAGATGATTGGCTGTCTGGAATCTCGGGGACTCGTTCTTGTCTTCCTGAATCAACCAGTATGCCGAGACCACCGAGGACAGGGCGTAGGAGACCGGGCTCTTCCCCACATGGGATTTACCAACCCAGACCACAACATGTGACAGCACGTGGGGCAGGATCGGGGCAATGACAATGTTCAGGCCCCAGGGAGTCAGACTTTTCAGTGTCAGAGGCCAGTCGTTGATGGTGTTCGCTTGGGAGCCTTGATCTGCGAGCACCCGCAAGAACTCCTTGATGGTCCCCTTGTCCCATTTGTACAAAGGGCCATTGGGGTCGTTCACCTGTTCTTCTGTCCAAGTGGTGAACTGACCCTTGGAGTTCTCCTCCGGCCCCTGCTCAAGTCAAACCCCTTCCTGATATCGGCGGTCTCCAGGGGCTGCTTGTTGGAGCTGCCGGCGGGGACGAGCTTCTGATACCGGACTTGGAAGCCTCCAGCATGTACTGTAGAGCACGGCCTCCTTCCCTGAACTTGCCCTGAAGGTCGACCTGAAGAGCCTGGCCATGGCACATCCGCAAAATTGCGCTGCGCAGGACCCTGGTGCCGTCCACGAACTTCACGTGCTTGATGATGTCGTGCTTGTTGGAGCCTTTGGGCACAATGAAGAGCTGCAAGTTGTAAGGCACGAGGTTGTTGCCTTTCATGCCGATCGGTGCAGGCAATTCATTCAGCATACCGCTGCTGCAAGAAGAGAGTTTCCAGAGCCTTGAAATCCAGGGCGCCTTTGTAGTCAGGTATGACATCCAAGAACTGCACTGTCTTCTTGATGCCGTCTGTGAGTTCCATTTTGGCCGGGAGGTCACCCCGCTTCCTTATGCACCAGCATAGGCTGCTCCAGCTGGAGCACCTTCATGCCCTCCGTGCAGGCTGTAGCCTCCTCGAACGCGCAACGCCCGTCAAGATTGGCGGCGTCCATGCTTTGAGCGAGAGACTGAGGTCGGTGAGGAGCTTGGCTTGCCATTGCTAGAAGAATGCAATAAGCAAAGAGGATGCAAGTATGATTGCCTAGTTGGCTTGGTGAAGGCTGCGGCAGACCAGGGACATTTGACAGACCTGTTTGGATGGCTGTTTAATTTGCGGAGGACCTTGCGCGTGCAGGCAGAAAGCAACACTTCTTGTTTGCAAGCGGAGGTAGCCTTCTTAAAAGACAAGGCCATATGCGCTCAAGTTGACACACTTGCTTTGCAGGTCAGGCAGCGCGCCTTTTTTCCTTTTTACTCCAGTGTCAGAAAAATGCCCAAGGCACAGAAAATCTAGCCATGTGGCTGCCGGCTCTCACTTAATGATGAGCTGCACCTCGTCGGCGTTCAGCTCCGTCTCGCCATCAGCATCCACCTTGAAGAGGATGCCATCGAACTCAAAGACTTCAGAGCCTCAGGCAGGGGAAAGAAAGACCGGGCAAAGAACGGCCGACAAACATGAACTTCAAGAAAACGCTCCTTCTTTAAAGAAGATCATCAAACACCCGGCCAAGGAGCCGTTGGGAAGTTGACAGACCTTCGTGGGCCATGAAGCAGGCCCAGAGGGGGCACTTGGCCCCGGGGTGTGGCTCCATTGCTGGAGGGCCCACAAAACTTCGCGGGGAAGTACTCCATGAAAGGCAGTGGCAGACATAAGTGAGTCTGCCGAAGCGAATGATCCAACAATTTGCTAGGCCAGCCAAAAACTGCAGTATGCTGCTTTTGCTTTCCAGGTGCATGTGCTGCATGTAAGGCATGACAGTTGCTCCTGCCAGATTGGCCCTGCATCTCAGATGGTTGGACAAGCAGAAGGTTGGCCCTGCATAGCAGATGGTTGGACCTGCTTGGACAAGCAGAAGGTTGGCCCTGCATAGCAGATGGTTGGACCTGCTGGGCGTGGACCATGGGGGGGGGGGGGGGGGGGGCGAGCATATATATATATATATATATATATATATATATATAGTTGTATACATATATATATATATATAATCTAATATATATATATACAAAAATACATGGGATCGGCCCCTTTTGGTTTGCGGACACTTGCACCTGGAAAAGACCGAGTGGTTTGTGGATCCCTTTCCAGTTAAAACTTTTAGTGGGGCATGGCATAAATCCCTGTGCCCCAACGAATTCCGGCCCGCATCCCAGATTGGCGTACCTGCATCTCTCACCCCAAGCTACCCAGCGGCTTGCCAGGAAAGGAAAGTCTCCTTCCCACCCCTTTTTTCGGTTCACTTTGAGACGGGCCGCCAAAAAGATGTACCAAAAAGATTTACAACCACAAGATAGCTGCCTGAGACTTGCGTTTTTGAAACCCAAGAAAAAGGGGGGTGCTTTCGCCGGGCGACTGTTCAACGATCAAGGTCCTGGTTGGACCTGCGAGACTTCCGATAAGCGCGCCCGACATGTGGGACGAGAGGTTGCGCCGTTGGCTCAAGTCGTCAAGATCAAAGCCAGAGCATACGGTGAATCAAGGATGATCCAAACCAGAAATGGGTGCCGCCTTTATTGAATTCTTGGCTTCTGCAGTTACCCCCTATAATTTGGGGTGTGGGTAAAACGACATGGGTTCCACTGGTTGGATTGGTTGTATTCCATTTGGGGCCATTTATTTGTCCAAAAGTTTAAGGGTTGATTCCCCATTATGTTCAACCATCTTTCTTTTAAAACACCAGCTTTTCCCCTGGGTTTTGGATCGTTTGCCGAAAAGATGGATCCCGGCAAAGAATGGCCAAGCTTCCCATAGGAAAAGATCACCGGAGTCATAATCAACACCCGGTCTCAAAATGGTCTACCTGGAGCCATATTGCTCACACAATACATGCTACCAACGCCTGCAATAAACGAAGGCCCCTTCAAGGTGGCAACGGATTTCTAGAAGCTTTACAAATAAAACACCTACCATGTCCGGTTGCTCCGAAAGGCTCCCTCGGCAACAAAAATGGACAAGCCCTCCTTGACCCACCTGAAACGGTCGCTAAACTCAACGACTCGCCCACCTCTATGGGCGGCGGTCGTTCTCTCCGGCGCACCTCTCTCTCCACGGGGCCCGAACCAAGCAAAGCCCTCCTGGCACAGGAGCCTCGGACGCATCGATGTCGCGAACACCGTCGCCAAAACGGACATGTTCTCCCCCCCTTGGTTTGATCATCTTGAGGCTGGCAACCCTGGTGCGGGTTGTGGGCAGCTAGCTGCTAGCAACCCTGGTGTGGGGCTGTGGGCAAAAAGAGCTCCGCGTCTCCAAACCAGCCGACTCAAGAAAAAACCAGGCACCGCGATGTGGGCTTGTGCTATATGGACTGGAGTTGGTACCCTTTTGGGGTGAAAATCGGAAAATTCGGGAAAGTCGCCTGTTTTGGGTGTCTCCATTTGCACCTGGTCGGCAGGGTTGTTCAGTGCCGGACCGGGGGACAAACACGTGCCATTTTGAGAAGACAATCCCTAGCCCAAGTAATGTCTGTTGACCATAGCACAAATGGGCAGAAATGAGCTATGTGCTTGACGCGGGTTCTTGCCCGAGCGACAGGTCCAAAAAAAGCAGCCGGCCCGGGAGCTTAGCGGTTTACTCCGTATACCCCGACTCCGACCCCTTCCAACTGCCAATACAAACAGCCAACAGCGTTTCTCCAACCTACCTTTTTCCCCTGAACCATCATGGCAACTCGCTTTCACCTCAAAATTCGACGTCTGAAAACGGAAAAATGACGTCATAAAATGAGGGCAGGCGACCAATCCATCCCCGACCATCCCCGGGGGCCCGGGCGATTGGCTGGGAGCAATGCCTTCCTGGTGCGAGAAACGAAAGGAATAAGCATGGATCAACCGAGGAAAGAGGTTGAGGATTAAAGGGATGGATTGGATGGGTGGATGGGTGGATGGGCGGATGGATGCGTGGATGGGCAGGTGGGTAGCTTATGGGGTCTCTCTAACTGTTGCGGTGATTCAACAACCCCCTAAATACATCTAAATACCTCCACGCCCATGTTTACAAGGAGCCTGAATGCAGTTCTTTGGAAAGCCAGTACGGGAACATCCAGTTTCATCTTGGCGGGTGGAAGGGTATGTCAGCAGCCCCAGAGTCGTCGCCGCGCTTGAGAAACGCAGTGCCTCAAACTGTGTGTTTCAAACCAACTGAGAAAATCGCAAATCGCCAAACCCCTAAATGGAAGTTGGTCACTGTCACTTTCAGCGGCACATAGAAAACACACACGTTCAGCAGGTGGCGTCGCGTTCCCTAGGGCGAGGCCCAAATGAACCAGGCGCCCTCTCGGAAAACAAAGAGCTCCCAAAAAATCCAAGAGCTCTTCTGAGATCCAAAATCTAGCCACCCTGGCCCAAAACTTCGAGCAGTGGTAATTCCTCGCCGCACCTGCGATGGATGAACTGCAATCGTTCATCACGACCTTGATAAGGAAGTCCAGTCAGTTCGGAAAGAGGCAGAGGCCCACTTAACACCAAATAGATTCGGGAGTGAAGTCCAGCGCCAAACAAAGGCCAACCCAAGAACGACACACTGATACCTCAAGCATGGCGAAACGGCGAAACGGGCTGCCATGCGTTAATTGCCTGAAACCTCCCACGCCCACGCCACGCGGCTTGCCGCTTGCGGCCGAGGCGCTTCGTACACTCTCAACCAGCCATCTAGGCTTCTGCTAGAGAGGCTCGGACGTCCTCGGCGATGTTCGAAGCTCAAACAAACGCAGAATATATGCAACTGTATATATATTATATATATATAACGCTGGGTTAACAAAAAAAGTATTGAATTTTAACACCCAATGGTTTCGATCGCTTTCTACTGGTTCCATGGCGTTCCCTTGTTCAGCCTCCCAAACCGGTATATGTTCTCAAAAAATTGTTCTAGGCGCGAATGTTTGCTTGTTACGGTTGTGCTTTCATTTTTGTTCAAACAATGTAACTCAAGGAAGAATCAGCCAACTCGATTTGGCCATCGTTCCCAGAAAACACTTCCAACCAAACGTCGGCGAGCTATCATAATCGAAGTGATTGAGATCAACCAGAGGAATATGCATTGCAGGCGGCATGGATTTGGGACACTCCTCTATGGGTTTCTCTATGAACAAGACAACCCCTAAAATGGGTGACTTCTCTTGGTGCCCATTTGAAGCAACCTCAACACAAAAAGCGAGTACCTTCAAAAAAGGACACATCCGCATGGCTACATGTCAAACTCGGGCCTCCTTGAAATGCTTCTTGGTTCAACTTGTTTCCCTTCACATCTTCCTGGCAAAAGGATCTCTCGGAGTCGGTGCATGCCCCCTACTCCAAATACTCGCATTGCTTTTGGGGTGCGCTGCTAAACCCTGACCATAAACAAAGAGGTGAACACTACTTCCAAACATATACCCCAAACAAGGAACCATGAGGGGCATGAGGCGCAACTTTCCTCTCGCCAAGCCGAGCTCTCAATTCGACCGGTTGTCCCCTGGCCCCCCCCCAGCCCGTGGGCCCAAAGGCCCCGGGCACCCTCCCAATTCGGCCGAGAGGCCAAAAATGAGGCGGCTCTCAAGGCATGTTCGCACAAGACACGGCTCGCTCGCTCGCGGGGTCAGCTCATCGAATAGACAAGCTCTCAGCCAATTCAACCAACTCCTGCATGGATCAAACATGCCGAACCCGAGTTGGAAAATTATGATCATTCCAAAACCCGAAGCAAGCACCCCCGTCAAAGGGCTCCGTCATAGCACGGAAACCGCGTCTTATCCCCGGTGAGCTTGCCCTGAACCGTGCAGTGTGCATCACGTGTGGAACACAAAGCTAAGCAAAGTGAAGTCATAGCCCAAATACTTTCTTCCGGCACACAGATGGAACAAACATACTCCCCGGCTGATTCACGTGGAACACAATGAGGGGTCCCATAAAGGAGATTATATGCCTCTGACAAACAGGATTTGTTCTATATGTATATTTGCCGGCGTGTAGATGT